GGTATTTAAGAGAACCTACTTCCACAAATAATATCTAATACTAACTTTAGGTTTTCCTTAGTGCCTAATTTAGAAGAACAGAGAGAACTCATTAGAATTTTGCCCATGGCATGACATACTTTAAGAGTTAGTAAACATTTGCATATAACTGGGATGGGAGGGGCGGGTTGAGGCCACACCCAGCAGTGCTCAGGGTCTACTCCTGGCTCTGCTGTAGGGATGACTCATGGTGGGCCCAGGGGACCATATGTGGTGCCAGGGATTAAACCCAGGTCTGTTGCATGCAATGCACACACCTCATCAGCTGTACTAACTCTCCGGCCCAGTATAAATAGTATTTTTAATAATGAGTATGAATCAAATTATAACCCGACATGTCACTGCCTGGACAAACATAGGACAAAAGGAACTGGTAGCCTTTCCCACTTTGGGAAGCTTTATTCAGACACAGGGAAGGAATGCAGGCTTTTGGGTCATCCTGGAGTGTGGAGAATTCTCTGAGCATCCCTGTGTGCCATCCACTGGGAGCTGCATCTTGCTGAGATCCCCATGGTGGTGCACGTACTCTGTAGGGCTTTCTCAGGAGGACCATTTCTGCTCCTGCCTCTCCATCACACTCAGAACTGCCAGCTTTAGTCTCTTTCTCTGTACAGGACCGAACTTCTGGCTGTACCACGTTCACAGCTGGTGAGGGCGAAGCTGGAGGCAGGTGGCCTCTAGGTCTCTGCTTGGCCCAGGACTGTTTCACAGGTGGAGGTGGGAAGGACCCCAGATTTCAGGAACTCCCCATGGTTATTCCCCAGAACAGCATCTGGGCAAATAGTCTCACTTGGGACTGTTTGCTGACCCAAGTCTGCAATTAGCAGTGAAATTATAAATGCCACAGACACACTGGCTTACAGTCGTACAGGCCTAATCCCCTACCCCTATGCCACAAAAAAGTTATCAAATCGATTGCATCTTCAACATGATGAATTCTTTAAATTAAGAAATTTGTGATGTGTTTCATATGCCACCAATACTGGTCAAATTCTACTCTCTGGATTGAACTCTGAAACAATTATTATTTTATTTAAAATAGTTATTGGTAAATATTTTACCCATACTGCAAAAACAAATTCTGAAAACCCAGTGCTCATATGCTCTGTCATAAACTCTTCCTTGAAAAAGACATATGCATTCAATTTTTCAATAAAGGAAAAAATAAATCATCTAATTGGCTAATCCTGAGCTGTATTGCTGTGTGTATGAGGTTTGAAAAACTGGGTATATAAAATATTTTTAGTTTTTGGATTGCTTTTATTTTGGGGAGGGGAAGAATGGAATATTACCAAATATATGTTGGATGTATTAAAGATAGGTATGCAAATGGAATGATAGTCTAGAAGAATCAGGAAGAACCATGGGTAAATGTTTTTTATGGTTTTCTAAGTGTGGAAGTGCTTTCTAAATATGGCACAAAATCCAGATGCTTTGAAAGGAAACATTTATAAAATTGACTGCGTAACATTTTAAACATTTGTATATCAAGAAAAACTATTTACTGACAAATGCAGAAGGTAATTGAAACAGTATTGACAGAGGATGTGTTTTTAACACACTTTCTCTTTCAATGACCAGAAGAAGAGTGAAATTGTGATGCAGTTAGAAACAGAAATAGGAATTGATTGCAAATCAGAAGTTTCTACAGAAATAGATATTAAGTGCACACATACACATTGAATCTTACTTTCACAGCTAAATAAATAAAGTGTATGACTAGAAATTTGTTCTTGATCTATCAGAAAGGGGTAATCTAAAAATAAAAGACATTGGAGGCATTAAAAGTGGAATACAGGGGACAGAGCGATAGTACAGTGGGTGGGGCATTTGCCTTGCACGCAGCAGACCCGGGATCTATCCCCAGTGTTCCATATGGTCCCCTGAGCACCTCCGGGAATAATTCCTGAGTGCAGAGCCAGGATTAACTCCTGAGCATTGCCGGGTGTGACCAAAAAAGAAAAAGAAATGGAATAGAAAGAGGAAGGGGGAAAGCATCCTCTTGTTGATCATATCTACATTGTTATGGACCATATGGGTGCTGGGAATTGAACCTGGGTTGGCCATAGGTAAGGCAAGTGCTCTGCCCCCTGAGCTATCTCTCCAATTCATATATTTTCATGAAACATTTACACCTAAGGTTGTTTAGCATGTAGGAGATATGTGCAGAGATTAAAAAAAAATGTAGTCTTGTTTCTGAAGGATTGAAATATGTTGACTGATCAGGACAACAGAATACGATGCAGGCATTAACAGGAAGAAAGTAAAGTTGTACTTAAAGATTTACAGATAAAATAATTCATAGCACAGCGGATAGGGCGTTTGCCTTGCACGCAGCCAACATGGCCGACCCGAGTTCGATTCCTCCGCCCCTCTCAGAGAGCCCGGCAAGCTACAGACAGTATCTCGCCCGCACGGCAGAGCCTGGCAAGCCACCCGTGACGTATTCGATATGCCAGACACAGTAACAACAAAGTCTCCAATGGAGACGTTACTGGGCCCGTTCGAGTAAATCGATGAACAATGGGAGGGCCTTTACCTTTACCTTTTTAATGTGTATAAAAATCAACCCCTGCTCCATGCTACCCTGTGTATTTGGGGTGTATTTGGAACTAGCTACGCCAGCGAGAGGGGGAGAGAGGATTAGATGGAGAATGACCCACACCCAGAGACATGCCTAGTCACCCAACTACCTGATGCCACATTTCCCAGAATCTAGCCTTGCTGTTCAGCTACCCTTATAGAAGCAACCCAAAATTACCGTAAAGATAGAACCAACTGTCTCCAAAATATGTGTGCCAATAGTGGCCATTTCCAACTTCGAAAGGTCTTTTTAACCTGTTTTGTTTGACTTTTTCTGTGGAAGTAATACGTGTATGTTAAAGCCGGGCTGCGATAAGACTGGGATAACTCCTTATCCTTGGTGGCCCATGTAAACAACCCAAAGCCCAGCCAGAATCTGTGCTCAGAATCTGTGAAGCATCAAAGCAATCCACCACAAACCGCCAACTGGGTTTTCCCAAAAAAAAAAAAAAAACTCAGTACCTCACTTCACCTCCTTGCTTGGCTTTGGGGGTCTTCCTCATAAAATCCTCTCCCCCTCCCATCCTAACTGGCTGGGGTGGGGGTGGGGTAGCTGAAAGTGTTGGGGCTTTCTGCATGCAGGAGCCACAGGTCCAAACCCCATACCACATGGTCTCTTGGGTTTTGCTGGTTGTGTTCCCACCCCCTTAAAATTTAAGTTCTCTCCCTAGCTTCTCTCACAAGCATACATTTTGTGGTTGGAGGCCTCCCAGTTTTAATCCAGATTCGCTTAAATAATTTGTCTTCATTTACTTCTTTAGCATGTGCATGATCACTTACCTGAAAGTTCTAGAAGGCTCTGCTGTGAGGTTTCCTTCCTTCTTCCCTCAACCTAGTCCGGCGTGAGAAAAACCCGTGTAAACTCCTTCTCTTTGAGTTCCAGGACTGTGAACAACTATTTGTCTAGTAACTCTATACTTAAAGGATTTACAGGCCTATTGCCTGAGGGATTTTCTCCAGTTGCATCTTCCCTGGCAATGGGACCATCACTGGACCCTTGTCTGATTCACATTTTCACTGTACAAAGAGAGTAAGTGTTTGTAAGATTCTGTGGTGCTTCAGTCTGCTACTGGACTCAGAACTGAGTTTTCCACGTGCGTGGCTGATGGATCGATGTGTTGACTTGATTTCTGTTGTGGGCTTAATGGATTTCTTAGTACTTTGGCTTCCTCCCAAGCTTCCTTTGGAAGTTAGGCTTTCCATTCCTGATCATGGGGAATTGTAATTCTCAGCCAATCAGCAGATTCTCTCCTTGGAGGGCACCTCACTCTGAGAAGACATTAGCTTTTCCACACAACCCTGGTCTTTCTACACTCATTTCCTGCACACCTGACCTCCTGGATCCTACTGGAAGAGAATTTCCTAGTGGTCAACACCTGCTTCTGAGGGCCTCATCTTCTGCATAGTGTCGATGCTGTCACTCACATCTGTCTGATGCCCTAGAGTTGATGATGTCACATCCCTCTCTGTCCTTTATCCTGTCTAAACTTCTCTCAAATAGGACCCCAGGCCTTCCAATACTGTCCTGTTCTATATGAATTCTTCTCAGTGACAAAGCTAAAAGGAAACAGTTACCAACCATGATGCTGATAAATAATGTATTGAATATTCTACAAAGAGCTACTGAATTGACATTTTTATGCATTTTTATGCCATGCATTAAAAAGGAAACTCTTCCTTTTACTGAATTTAAACTACGTTGAAGGATCCAGGAGTATATTTGCTTGTACTGACCAGTTGCTTAATTTTATGGGACACAATTGTCTCATCAAAGCTATAACAATAATAATATCCCCTCCATGAGGTTAAACTTTCTAAGTCATGCAATAATGTTCTGTGTCATAGATGTTCAGTCCACTTCGGTGATGTAGTTATGGTGGCAATGATGGTGATGATGATGATATTAAAGTTAAAACATAAACGTTATTTGTGATTAAATCTATACACCTGTAAGGACTTTGTCCATCACATTAGACATCCAAGTCACCCCTGTTACTAAAGGGGTGGAAGTGAGGATGGTAGTGATTTGGATGGTGGGCCTGGGTGGATCCTATAACAAGTAGCATTTTTGGCATTGCAAGAATCTGACTTTAGTTCTATTCTCCTCTTGGCATCAGTAATCAACTGCTATTTTGAGAGAGAGAGAGAGAGAGAGAGAGAGAGAGAGAGGAGAGAGGAGAGAGATTTCAACCAAAATAAATTTATTTGCTTGCTTAGATCTTTCCCATTCCATGCAGAAAGCTCTGTGCCGCAAGACATAGATGCCAGCTCCTGCTTCCCTGTCTGCCATTGTAGTCAGAGACAGACTCCAAGCTTGCGTGTCTTTTTGGAGGCGGGGAAAGCTGTCGTTCCGCTGACCCTGTTATGTACGTTTCCAGTGCCTGCATCGGTGCCCAGGACCCCTACTGTGGCTGGGACTTGGTGATGAAGAAATGCACAAGCCTGGAGGAGAGTCTGAGCATGACGCAGTGGGAGCAGAGCATCTCCACATGCCCGGTGAGTGTGTGCGGCCCAGAGCACCCAGCTCTCCTCATCCCTGCACCCCCATGTCAAGAGATCCCCCTGCCTTCTCCAGTTGCGCCCCTCTGCAGCCCCAAGCTGTGCTCCCTCAATTCCTCTCCGTCCTTCCCCTCAAGAGTCTCCCTGTGCTTCTGGTTGGATTGAAGATAAAAAAGCTTAAAGAGCAAAATAGGGGTGGGTGGCACATGCGGTACAATACCTCTGTCTCAGTCTTGGATTTGTAGTTCCAGGGTTTGGCATGAGCGGTTTTGCCTTAGTCACTCATAACATCGCGACTTCTACAACCATCTGTTGCTCTTGGGAGCGCAAATTCCAGAGGCCAAGATCAATAGAGCTTTTAAATAAATAAACTAAAGGAGACTGCCGTTGAGTTTCCATGTGGGGCCATGCTATGGGAGAAACGGCCTCCTGGATGTCCCCACAGTGGCCCCGGGGAATGAAGGGGACTCGTCACAGTTAGAGCCCAGGAGGCCAAGGCCGAGGTGTCACAGTTTCTTTTGGTGGCTCATTCTTTTCATTGTTAAGCCTGGGACTCTGGGTTCCCAAGTGGCGAGACGAACAGAGACACGAACTTGATAATGCAAAAAGCAGTAGAAGTTTTATTCTAGTATACTGGGGTCAACCTTCTCACCCACAGAGTGGTCTCTTGATAATGACCCTGACTTCAGGCAGCAAGCAGTTTATATAGGACTTGGTTACATAAGCAGTGCATGCCTTGTTGTTTCAGAAAAAACCTCACCTAGTTACCAAATAAAGGTGTTTTGGCAAGTATCTAGGGTAACAGTGGTCAGGCAACAGTTAAACAACAGTTTCCACTACCAGTTCATGGTTACATAGGCTACTCATTCTTTCAGGGTTAACAAAAGGCAGTTTTGGGGGCATTATGAGAATTGATTGATTGAACCCACTTGCTGTCCCAGGAGCTTTCCCAGGTGGGTTCAGCTTGGCTGGTTGCACATTGTTTCATTGCTGGGAAATCAAGACTGTTTCGGTTCCGGGAACTGAACCTGATGCCTCGCTGCTTTTGCTGATATCTGCCACCTGTCGTGGCATCAGTTTTGCCCTTACAACTTGCAGGAGCCTTTTCATTCTTTAATCAAGATATCTCAGTGTGTGTTTCTTGTCCTCAGAGAATATGAGCTATTCATTTGAACAGGGTTGAACTTTTTGGATGTCACTTTGCTGCCACGTAATCCTGATGTCTGTGACTTCCAATGCTGCTGTCCTGTGTGGCTGCTTTGTTGGAAGCTAGGCTGCCTGCCCTCCAGCTACCCCGTGCATCTGCTTTCTACTGATTGGTTGGTTTTAGTTTTTGATTTGGGGGCCACACCCAGTGGCATTCGGGGACGACTCCAGGCTCACTGCTGGGAATTGCTGAAGGCCTCCACATGCCTCCACATTCATGCATGTATGTGCTCCAGTCCTTAACACAGCTGCCTGAGTCAGCTGAACAACCTCTATTCCCCGTCAAGGAACCTCCCCTTTCCATTGCTCCCGCCACTTACTGTTCTGGTGCGTGGGATATTTGCAGTGTCCCACAGATGTGAGGAAAGAGAAGACAGCCCCTCGCATCCCCCAGATGTTTGCATGAGTCAAGCCAACTTTCTCTGCAGGAAGAGACCTAAGAGCCACGTGCAGCCTCCAAGGAAGCTTTGCAATGGCCTTTGCTGCTTGCATGGTCCACTACAGATCTCTGACTTTAGACATAAACCATTTTTTGCAGGGTCTCTTGAAATTGGTTAAAAACAATCAAATAAGTAAAAAACCACCCATGTTTTTTTTTCTTTTACCAAACCCCCTTTGAAAGCTGAAGAACATTTTTTAAAACAAACACACACACACACACATACACACACACATACATACACACATCTCTTGATCTCAGATTCCCTGTAGCTAAAGAAAACATGAAGTACAACATCCAAAATTAGCTCTGAAATGCAGACCGATGCTGTAGAAGAAACAGTGCATCTTGCAGATGTTTTTGATGATGCAAAGGCCAAGGGATATAGTTGCATTTCCTTATACACTGGGACTCTTGATCCAGGAGGTATTTTTAGTGAAATTATAGAGCCATGCTTAATTTTGAAGTGGGAGATACACACTCACCCACACATGTACATGTCTTATACGGCGAGTGAGAACATGGAGGCGATTTAATATTTAAGTGATCATATAGACTCAGGGAATGTCAGTGAACTGCACAGAACTGCCATGGTATGGGAGCTGTCTCCCACCTACACCTTTATTTAAATGATGCAGCTGGGCTATGAGCTCTCATTCACTGTTCATGAAACACACAGGACAACCTCCTTTTTTCATCCCAGTACAAGGTGAGTTAATTATACACAACTCTCTTTACACTTTCACCTAGCCACATCAAGATTCAGTGTTGATACATCAGGAATATTCAGAGTATGCAATAACAGACAGTAAATTGTGTCACTTTCAAGAAAACATAGGAAAGAAGACCACACATTTTTTCTGATATGTGCAGGCTACCACGCAAAAGGTGGGAAATCTTATCAGCAGCTGCTATTTTAATGATTCATTCTTTACTAAAATGCTCTTAGAAATAGCTGAGTTCAAAGAAGATTATTTGCAATAATAAAGTATAGTCCTAGGTATCTTTAAAGCTATTGAATGTAATGTGTTTTATGCTACTTTTTATTGAAATTGTATAAACATTTAAGTTTTCTAGCCAAATCTACATATTTTATCATTTCCTATATGCCAATTATGAAGGATACTACTGTTTTTATGTTTAAAGAAAAAGCATACTGCTGTGGATCGTAAGATGCCAACTGATCTTAGACTAATGATAAATGATGATAAGGAGATAGATCAAAAGATCTTATGATCAGTTAAATTCCTTTCTTAACATACATATCTTTATCTGAAGGGAATCAAGCTTTGTAAGATGAGGGGTTTTTGAATTAGAGTAAGGCAACTGTGTTCAATGTAAAATCCGAAGTTGAAGGATGAAGTCCTTTTACATTAAGCTTGGTATATGATGAGGATAATATTAGACCTTCTTGAATAAACCTATCAAGTCAAGCTTCATAAATCTAAAACATGTCTGAGGCAACTCAGACAGAGGCTGAGACTGATGGTTTAGATTCTCTATTCTCTAGAAAGTTCCAGTGGCCATGAGAACCCCTCCCTTTTCCCCTTCTGTCTGCCCCTCACCCTAAAAACCTTTCCAGGAATTTAGTGAATTTAAGAAGACCTATTTCTACAACAGTATCTCCTTTTAAAAGTATTTACAGATCATGTTATCCAGGAGAAAGGGCAGTAGATGATATGTGTATTAACATTCTGTTTTCTTATATCACAGTAACTTAAAACACAGTTCTTCTTTTGTTTATTTAACTGAATCACTGTGAGATAGACCCTTACAAAGCTGTTAATGGTTAGGTTTTAGTCATATGGTGTTCCAACAACTATCCTTCTATCTGTGTACATTTCCCAGCACTATTATCCCCAGTTTCCCTGCCTTCAGCCCCCACCCCACCCCCAACCTGCCTTATGGGAGTATGGCAAACATATCTATCTATCTATCTATCTATCTATCTATCTCTCTCTCTCTCTCTCTCTCTCTCCTTCTCCCTCTCTTCTCTCCTTTTAGGCATTGTGGTTTTCAATACAGATACTGACAGGTTGTCATAAAACAAAGTTCTCAATTTAAGAGGTTTGACATGCATAAGCAAGATCTCAATGAACCTCTCTAGAGTTATTTGAACAGCACACGTTCTGTGTAGCTTGTAATTTTGCCTCCCAAGGAAAGCATAGTCTTATGAGTTTACCTTGACTTCAATTTTGCATGAATATCATCTGCATCTTTTGTGGATATGTGAGTGCCATTGTACCATTTCTTACAACGATTCTCTGTCCCAGACACATTCTACCATGGCTAGCAGAAACATTGACCAAATAAGCACAGGTCTTCCAGTAGAGGATTTATTCCAGGTTGAGGGTTCATTCGTCATTTTAGAGTGAAGGGGCTCAGGTGTAGAGCAGCAGGTTTGGGTTAGACAGAGTCTATAGGGCTTACACAAATGAGGAAGAAAATATGTGAAATCAGGACACGTGATGTTATTCCCTGTGTACAAAAATAGTCTTTCATAACAGTCAAGGTGTTCCAAAGCAGAGACCTACCCAGAGGTGGGTCCACTGGACCGTGACCCTGAATTCAATTGCAGGTAAGAGATAAATTGATTTTTAAGTTTTGTCGACGAAGGGGAGCAGGGCTAACTGAACCTTCAGATCCTGTGTGGGTCTCCAATAGGCCCCCTGTAATGGACACGCACTGGGCCTTGATGAAGAATAGCCCTGGCCCTGTTTCTTTAGAGTCAGCTCAGCTCTGGCTCCATTGGCTTTGAAAGAGCAATGTTCCCCTTACATTGCCCTTTATAGGACCACCTTCGGGGTGAGATAAATGGCTGTCATAATATAAGATAAACTTTTGGATGAGAGTCTTCAATATCCTCTTTCATTATGGATACCTGGCAGAAACTTTGAAAATAAAGACTTGCCTCTTAAACTTCTGAACAAAAGTATTCAAGGGGGAAATATGAAACTTCACGTATTAAAAATATAAATCAGCACCACAACCACCAGCCACCATCATTCAGAGGGTGATGGTTGGGGTACAGGGGCTGTTATGCCCATCAATTGCAAGGGTCTTCTTAGTCAGGTGGCAATTAATGAATTGGGCATGAATTAATATGGGATTCTGAATTACTCTTGGTGGCAAATTTGACTTGAACATCTATTTTTTTCTCCCTAGGTGAGGGAACTTTGCTCTTACACGATTAGGGGTAAAAATATACAATCTGATTTCCATGAGGCTCAGCAAAGATCTCAGAATCCCACTAAAAACCAGGTGGTTGAGAGGGCAGGCTCTGGCCCTCACTGCCTTCCATGGAGTCTTGAGCCCCTTACAAGTGTGACTCGGAATTCATCCGCCCTCTTGGACCTTGCAGCTTTCCAGAGTTTCGTGGGAGTTTGATGTTGTGAAGAGCCGCAGGCCAGGCACAGCTAAGTGGCTCCGTAGCAGGCCTGCCACAGTCCAGGTTCTCTGGTCGATGCTTCACTGCGGTTTCGTGTTTAGTATTTATTAATATGAAGTATAAGTTTCAAATGGATTCCCTTGGCAGAAGTCCAAAGGCAAGCAAGACAGAGAATTCATTCTAGGTAAGCTTTAATTCGGAAGTCTTTTTAAGGAAAGTGAATAAAATATAAAAGTCCTTAGTCCTAAGAAAAGTCAAACACCAGAAGCTACCCCTTATTCATGGTCCGGATTCCTAAGCAGACTCAGGCTCATGTCCTCGGGGTCAGAGGGGCACGTGGTTAATGAATTAATGAATGCAGGGAGCCTCACACTACCCAATGGCACAGTCTTGCTGCAGTTTTCCAGAAGGGCCGGGTAGCCCTGTATGGACTCCCAAGCTCTCCAGGTGTGAGACACTCCATCCCTGCAGAAGCGAAGCTCAAACTCTCCTGTTCTGAACTCTCTCGAACTCTGGCCCGCTGTTGCTGTTCTTACACAGCGGTTTGCTCCCTCCACGCCCCACTACCGTTTCCATTGTTCCTATCACTCTGTTTCTCTGCCTTGTTCTGCTCTGTTTTGCACTGTGTCATTTGAAGCTCCTCTTCTTCTTTCCCTCCCATTATTACGTGGCGTTCTTTCTGACACCCGTGGATTTGGACAAGGCACCTCTTTGTTTAGAGCCTTGCCATCTATGCTGGTGCCCCAAAGGAAATGTGAATGTGTGTCTGTGTATGTGAAAGTGTGTGTATGTGTGTGTGTGTTATATGTATGAGTGTATGTATGTTGTGTGTGTATGAGTATACATATGTTGTGTGTATATTGTGTGTGTTGTGTGTGTATATGAGTGTGTCGGGGGGAGGATGGGGAGGGTGTTTTAGCACAGATTTTTTTTTTAATGAATCACCGTGAGGTACAGTTACAGACTACAAACTTTCGTGTTTGTGTTTCAGTCATACAATGATCGAGTACCCACCCTCTACCAGTGCCCATTCTCCACTACCAATGTTCCCAGTATCCCTCCCACCACCCTCACCATACCCCCCTCACCTCACTTCTGTGGCAGGCGCATTCTCTTTTACTCTCTCTCTCCTTTAGGGTGTTGTGGTTTGCAGTGCATGTATTAAGTGGCCATCATGTTAGATCTGTAGTCTACTTTCAGCACACATCTCCCATCCCGAGTGAGCCCTCCAAGCATCCTTTACTTCGTGTTCCCTTCTCTATCTGAGCTGCCCCCCCCACGCCCCCAGCATGTGAGGCCAGCTTCCAAGCCCTGGAGCACTCCTCCTGGTCCTTATCTCTACTATCCTTGGGTATTAGTCTCCCATTCTAGCCCAGATATTTTTTTATTTAGATTTTTATTAGTGAAACACCATGAGGTATAGTTGTAGATTTACAAATTTTTTGTGTTTGGGTTTCAGTTATACAATGATCGAACACCCATCCCTCCACCAGTGCCCATTCTCCACCACCACTGATCCCAGTATCCCTCCCATCCCGTGGCCCCCCTTCCCACCCTGACTCTGTGGCAGGGCATTTCCCGGGGGGGGGGGGGGGGAAGGCAGCTCAGATAGAGAAGGGAGGACCAAATAAAGGGTGTTGGGAGTATCCTCCCAGGATGGGAGATGTGTGCTGAGATTAGACTCTAGACCGAACATGATTGCCACTCAGTGCCTCTTTTGCAAACCATAGCCTAGATAGTCTTACTTGGAACAATTTCTCCTTCTTTCTCTCCTGCCTGCCTCCCCATTCTTCACCCCCCTTCTCTCTCCACCACCCTCCATCCCCTCCCGCTCTCCCCTCTAGGTCCTCCCTCCTCCCTACTCCCTTCTTTTTGCTCCTCCTCTCCTTACCCTTCTCCTTCCTCCCTCCCTTGCCCTTTTCCTCTCATCCTTCCCCTTTCCTCTCTTTCCTCTTCCTCTTCTCGCCCTGCTCTTATAGCCCTCCAGTCTCCTCACCCTCTCTCCCTTCTCCCTCCTCCTCCTCTGCTCCTCCTCTCCCTATTCACCCATTCCCTTTCTCCACTCACCCCCTCTTCCTCTTCCTCCTGCTCCCACCCCTCTCTTTCCTCCTTCCCCTCTCCCCTTGCTCTCTCCCACTCTTTTCCCCTTTCCTCTTCCCCTGCCCCTCTCTCCATCCCTCTCCGGCTCTCCCTCTTCAGCTCCTCTACCCTCTTTGTCCTCTCCTCCCACCTCCTCAGCCTGCCCCCCCAGTTCCCCAGTTTGGCACTTCAGTGGGGCACCCTGAGCGTCCGTACTCCCGACCCTTCCCTCTCTAATGCAGTTGCTGCTGTCCCCTCTCTGACACCTGTGTCTGTTCCCTAGACGCGGAATCTCACTGTGGACGGGCACTTTGGAGCATGGTCTGCGTGGACGCCCTGTACCCACACTGACGGCAGTGCCCTGGGCTCCTGCCTCTGCCGCACCCGTGCCTGCGACAGCCCGGCCCCCCAGTGCGGCGGCTGGCAGTGCCAGGGCCCCCGCATGGAGATCGCCAACTGTTCCAGGTGAGCGGGCACTGCGGGAGAGCACCTGGACCCCAGCAGTGTGTGTTCAGTTCCAGGGAAGGAGCCAAAGGCGGGGTGCTCACTTCTCCCCCCAGGATCTGTGGGAGGAGGTTTTAAGGTGGGAGTCAGCTTGTCCCCGAGGTCTGCTCACCTGTTCCTACCAAAGGGAAGGCTTCCTCCCACACTGTCCACTGGAGTCTGTTTCTGGGCCTCAGCGGGAGAGCAGAGATGGGATGCCAACTGCCCTGCCCAGCCCACCCACCAGGACCCCCCAGCTAGAGGCAGTGAGGGCTCGCGGGGGCTCCTGCCTCCCAGCCTTGCCTTTGGGGAGACAGTTAGATGCAGGTGGCCTCCAATGAGGTTGGCGACACCCAAGGGTGAGGTCTCCTCCAGGAAGGCCTGGGGCTACTGAGCATGACTCACAGGTGGCTCCCTGCAGAGCAGACATGATGCTTCTAGAAGCCTCTCAGGCAGCTCCTCATTTCTGACAACCAGAGGCCACAGGAGTGCAGAGAGGGTGGCCCTGCCCCATCCTCTGGGGTCCCTCCAAGCATCACTGTTGCAGCCCATGTACACATCCCCCACGTGCACGTCCCCGCCTCTCGCACTCATGAAGACCCACATGTAGTGGGACGTGCCCTCCCTGAGCCTGTGCCAGCTCCCAGGGCACCTAGAGGTTGGCACCAGAGAGAGTCCACACATGTCAGCATGTGCCTGTGTCCCGGGTCTGGGCAGATGCCCCCTCCTTCGCAGGCTTGGGGCATGCTTTTCCCAGGGCCACTGTCTTCAGGGTCATATGCTTCCCCAGCCCCAGAGAGGGTTGATGAAACTGCCATGGCTCATCCGTGTCAGAGACTACCCGGCTTCCTGCCAGATGCTTCAGGAGTTGCAGAGAACCTTCCCTCTCTGGCAGGGATTCCGTGCCTGCAAGACACCGTGGGAGCGAGTGGGAACCCGAGAGATACCAGTGGGGAGCCACCTGCCCCCGACCCTTCTCTCTGGGTGCAGTTTGTTCCTCACTATATGCTGCGATTGCCTCAGAAAGCAGCATATATGCCAAGAGGTGGAGGAAATTCAGATTCCCCAAACCCTACTACAGGCAGTACTTCCTGACTCCTTACACAGTGAAAGTATCATGTCATTTTATTTTATGTTCTAGTCATTTTATTTTATGTTTATTATATATATATATATATAGTTGTTGTTTTTGCGAACCTCAAAAAAAATTTTTTGATCAAGTCACAGCATATAAGAATTCTTTTAGCTACCTCTATGAAAAAGCTTCTTTTCTGTGATTATGCTGGTCAAATTACAATAAAGCAGTATATTACACTCATATGATAAGATTTACTATTTTACTTAAATCGTAAGTTTTAGAAAAGCAAATGAGGAAATTTGCAACAGGCAAAGAATTTTTTCTGTTTTTTCAGAATTCTTTTTTATTTTTATTTATTTATTGAGCCACCGAGATACATAGTTAACAAAGCTTTCATGCTTGATATTCAGCAATACAGTGATCGATCACCCATCCATCCACCAGTGCAAACTTTCTACCACCAATATCCCCGTTATCCCCTCCATTTCCATCTCAGTCCTTACCCTGCCTCTATAGCAGACAATTGTTCAAATACTCTTTCTATAGTTTTGGGCATTTTGCTTGAATATCCCCACCACCATTCAAGCCTGCCTTCTCGGGACTGACACTAAATCATTTATTTTCTATTTCTCACTTCTATATCAGGACGGTTCAGAGGAATCGTCCTGGTAGCCACATACCGGAGCCATGCTTGTAGAAGCTCATGGTCACCGGGATTCCATCTGGAGAAGGCAGGGAGACTGCACCTGCTCCATCTGGGCACCCCAGTGATACCGGCTCAGTATGGGACCCAGAGAATTCTCCAGAGTTGTGGTGCCCGCTGGGTTGTTTTTCAGAATTCTTAAATTGGAATTATTATTGAAATCATTATGTTAACTTATTCTGTGTACCTTGAGTTTTGATGGCAAAATTATGGACCTGAATACATTTATGGTAAAATAAGAATTAATATGTTTAGTTTTTCATCCATGATCTCCCATGGGTGAGTAATGAACAGCTAGAGAAACATACATGTGATTAGAATATCAGATCAAGGTTCCACATATCTTATCCACTTGAGAGTCTAGACTCCGGATTAAACAGATCAAACAGATTAAACAGAGTGTATTAAAAATACTTTAATCTGTTGTTCAATGGAAGGGATAAACAGCTGTTTGAATTGTGAACATCATAATCATGGGCATTTTATGAAAAAGTACAATATTAGCAAAAAATAATTCCTATAGTTGCAGCAGTGGCATATTTTAAAAACCACTTAAAGTGATTCATTTTATTTTTGATATTTGAATATGCAGTTTATTCAATATGCATGCATGAAAATAATAGATATACACATGTGTGCTTATTTGGTGCTTTGTCTTTTATCAGATTATTAAACAAATCACCATAAATCTGAACTCAAAGCATCCATCCTTCATTTTAAGTTACTTGTTTTAAAACTTTGAATATTAATAAATTAATATTAATAAATTAATATTAATATCAATCAATTAAATTAATATTAATATTAATCAATATGAAATAAATAGAGTTCTGACTTTGTTGATGTTAGTGAATTTATAAGTAGCATCATATGCAGTTTTCTAGGACAATTTTATTCTAGCATGAGTTTTTCATAGATTATAAGACATAGTACAAATCAAATAAAGTTAGAAATTTTAGAGCTTCATCGCTTTATCTTTTCTTACCTTTTCAGTGAAACAACATTGTTCATCTTGAGTTTAACATTTTCATAAGAAGAATTTTCTCACTGATTCATCTATAGCCATTTTCATAACATTATTTTTCTTGAGCTTAACATTTCCATGAGAAAAAGTAAATTGTTTCAAATACACTTTTTTTTAATCATGTGATCTTTCTTGGAACTGACCATTCCCATAAGGAACGTGTCCTAATGGATTCAAACACCCCCTATTTTGCATAATGCAGGGTTGCACTTAAAAATGACTGACATCTGTTTTTTTAGTATCAGATTATACAGGTTTTGTCATTGTTTGGAGAGGCGGGCTAGGGAGATCTCCTCTGGCTGTGCTCAGGAGTCCCTCCTGGCAGGATAGGGACTATATAGATGCAGAGATTGGGCCAGCACCCTGCACACAGAACCATGTCTCCCACCCCTAGACCGGATTGCCCAGGAGAAGGACTGAGATGGAGACACCCCAAGGGTTGGAGAATCTGGGTGCTGGGTCTGGTGAATGACTCCTTTAAGCTTTCGACCCCCCTGCTTCCCTCTGCAGGAACGGCGGCTGGACCCCCTGGACGTCGTGGTCACCCTGCAGCACCACGTGTGGCATCGGCTTCCAGGTGCGCCAGCGTGCCTGCAGCAACCCCAGCCCACGGCACGGCGGCCGCGTGTGCGTGGGCCAGAACCGCGAGGAGAGGTGGGTCCGCGTACATCACCCGGTCACACTCACCCGCATCCCACCTGGCCCACCCCACTCCTCCTGCCCGCATCCCGCGCTGCTCGGCTGCTCCGGCCTTCTGTCTCCACATCTCCCTGGATTCCCCCCCACCCACCCCAGGTGTGGGTCCACAGAATCTCAGGCTCCATGGGGCCTTTGAGGGAGTAGAGAACCCCCCAGCCCCAGACACAGGGAGAGGGAATGAGCCTGGGATGGAGCCCGCAGCCCCCAGTAAGATTTCAATCCTGCCCCAGGGCGTGGTGTAGCTCTCGGATCCTGGTCTCCATCATTCTGTGTTACTGCCGCCAGCCCAGGGCTAGGTGAGATTTGATTCTTGGATGACAGGGATTTGATTCTTGGAGAAGGACAAGGAACAATGAATGGATGGTAAGAGCAGAGATGACATAAGACATAGAAAAGTGAGTCCTTCTGTTCCAGGATACCAAAAAAGTTAATGGAGACTAGAAAAACCAAATCTCTAATAGGTCTTTCTTGGTCTTCTCAAATCACCAATTCTCAGAGTTCTTGGGCGCTGTCCCCACTTCATAATATAAAGAAATGCCACCCTGATTCTGGAAGTGGAAGTATTGGAGAATGGAACTCAGCAGTAGATTGCCTTCCTAGGAGGGTAGAAAGTACCACAGACCAGACCTTCAGAATTATTTGCATGGCCTGGCTTCCTGGAGCGCCCTCCTCTGTGTGGGCTTCACAGTACTGCAAATGAAGGACTCGATCCTCTTCAAAGGAAGCCCCTGCACAGATGGGAGCAATAATACAGCAGGCAGTGCTAGCAAGTACACCTTGACAAGGCCAGGCAGGTTTATTGCAGGCACCTACGTACGTAGGGTTCCCTGAGCCCCACCAGGAAAGACCTGAGTACAGAGCCTGGCGTAAGTGCTGAACACTGACAGATGTGGCCCCAAAACTAAAAACAAAATCTTTAAATCAGGATCAGGATTATAGTTATTATGATTTTTCGTTTAGAAGAAAAGAACCCTTTAATATGAGAAACAACTTAATGGATGCGTTATTGAAACAAAAACTCAGAAATAGCCCCATCACCTTTTTCTGAAGCAGCAGATAAAATACTGTATTATTTAGATGTACTTAAAAGGTTTTAACACTTTGATTTTCTCTTCCAAAATTTTCTGATAAGTGATTTGAGTAGCAGAATCCGAGTAGAATTACGTATCTGTGAAGGACATACAGCACAGGTGAATCATGAAACTTGTTATAAATAAGATCAAAATGCAGATACCATTCTATAAGCTTTTGTCTGTTGTATAGCAGAAGGTCCACAAACTTAGTGACTTCACTATCACTCCAGCCCCCAAAGGATTCTTCAGTAGCTTTCATTGCACTGAATTGTATAGCTGTCACCTCTGTTCATATGATTATTGCATCATCTCAGAAACTCTAAAACCATTAAGCAGTAGCCCTTCTTCCCCAACCACACACCCACATGACAACACTCTAATCTGTTAGGCCTCTGTTGGTCTATTCAAGACATTTCATGCAAGTAGAACCATACGTTTTGTTTTAGTGTCTGACTAGTTTTATTAGCAAAAATTTTTCATAGTTTACCCATGTGATAACATTTATCAGAACTACATTCCTTTTTGATGCATGAATAATATTTGGCTCTCTCTATACACACCTTATTTTCCTTATTCATTTACCAATTGGCATTCAGGTTACTTGCACCTTTGACAGTTGTGAATAATACTGCACTAGTTTCTTACTCACTAGTTTAAGAATCCCTGTTTAAGTCCCTTTTAAAGTTCTTTGGAGTCTTTGTGTAGCTAGTCTGTATGAAGCTGTGGAATTTCTGGGTCAAATCATTTTGTATAGATACAGTAAGAAATACCTTGAGCTTATAGAATTGCTCTCCTAGGGCCATCTCAATCTCAGACTGCAGTGCTCAGGCCAGATAGCTTTCCTATTCTTAGCAGCAGGGTCCTAGTCTCGTCGTTACTTTTGGATCATGACAGCATTTGCCTATGATCAAACTCTTAACCTATAATTAAGAATCGTGGCACCTTGGCCTGGCCCATCGCGATGCCAGGGTAGCACATAACTTACCAGCTTGCCCTGGTTCCATCCAGTCCCACGTTGGGACCCTGCCCTTGGGGTGCTAGGAAGTGAGGGCAACTGAGGCTTAAGTTGAGAAGGCAGATGCCCAGGAGTGAATAATATTCAAAGCCAATTAAATCCTAAGTTATAAAGCATAATATTAATTAATTGTCTTCCTGCATCTATACAAAAGGACATTGCATTAAGGTAAACTGCTCAAAAGACATAAGGAGAGGAGAAAGGCAATATTAACTTACAGTACAGCTTCAATGTCTATGAAGGATGAGACCTTACAAATTGGTTGGGGAAAAAAGAGCACAAAGAAGTAGTTACTGACAAACAAAGTAATGGGAGTGTCTCGGGAGCACTGTGATGGGTGCAACCTGATAAACCTAAGATCCGTGTACTCCAACAAGACATTAATTGTATTTTTAGTTTTGAGAGAAATTTAGATTTTTGTGAAAATTTTTATACCTTTGCCATTTGACATTCCTACCAACAGTGTCCAAGAGTCCCAGTTTCTCCACAGCTTTGCCAACATTTGTTATTTTTTTTCTTTTTTATTCTAGTCACATTGTGTAAGTATAAAATGTTCTCTCATTGTGGTTTGGGTTTTCCTTTTCCTAAGGACAATGATGCTGATCATCGTCTTGTGTGCATTATGGGCCATTGATGTGTTTTGAAATATCTATTCAATTTGTTTGCTTCTTTAATTTTCTTTTTCTCCTTTTGTTTTGGGACCACATCTGGCATTACTCAGGGCTTACCCCTGGCTCTACACTCAGGGATCACTCTTGGTGGGCTTGGGGGACCTTATGTGGTGCCAGCGGTTGAACTCTGGTTGGCTGCATGTAGGGCAAGCATCCTACCCACTGTACTATTACTCTGACTCCAGTTTGCTCATTTTCTAATTTCTAATTCTAATTCACTTTTGTCATTATTCACTTCTGTCATTATTCAATTTTATTTTTCACCCTGTTTCCTTGTGGCTCATCACTGGCGCATTCCAGAGCCTACATTTAGGGGTTCTTTACCTGTTCCTCAGAAGTCTTTCTTCTACTCATTTTCTAGTTCCAAAGCCTCTTGCTCATTTTTAGGTATTTTTTGTTTTTTGTAGAGTAGCCACACACGTCCAGGTACAGATTCAATTTCAATGGTCCTCCCATAATAGTGGTCATATTCAGCTACCGAGCATCACCTGTCCATCTCACACAGTCTGTGCATTTGCAGTCTGGACAATGTGCTCCTGGGTCTTTAATCCAAACCTCATCAGGCTGTAATAAGCTGCAGACCATGACTGTGGTCTCAACTGCTGCTTGAATCAAGACGGATCTGCCTCCAAGTCCCATGGTTGTTGCAGCTCTCAGATCCTCGTGTGTTGCCATTAGCTGGAGGCTGTGCTCAGTTCCCTTCCAGCTTGAAAGTCTTGTTTCTTTATTTGTTTTGTTGTTGTGTGTTTTTTTTTCTTTTTGGGTCACACCCGGCAATGCTCAGGAACTACTCCTGGCTTAGGCACTCAGGAATTACTCCTGGCGGTGCTCAGGGGACCATATGGGATACTGGGAATTGAACCCAGGTCAGCCGAGTGCAAGGCAAATTCCACACCTGCTGTACTATCGCTCGAGCCCCTAGTTTTATTTCTTTAAAGCCAACAAATGAACATTTTCTTGAAAGGAGTCAAGCACATTACTCTGTGTGCTCTAGCTATGGCCATGACATCCTGTCATTTTC